TCTCTTAATGTAGACTACAAGTCTCCACCATCACCATACGTCTACAACTCCCCACCTCCTCCACCGTACTACTCACCATCTCCTAAGGTAGATTACAAGTCTCCACCACCACCATACGTCTACAACTTTTCTCCTCCACCGTACTACTCACCTTCCCCTAAGGTAGACTACAAATCTCCACCACCACCACATGTCTACAATTCTCCTCCTCCACCATACTACTCACCTTCTCCTAAGGTAGATTACAAGTCCCCACCACCACCATTCTACAATTCTTCTCCTCCACCGTACTACTCAACTTCCCCTAAGGAAGATTACAAGTCTCCACCACCACCATATGTTTACAACACTCCATCACCTCCACTACACTAGTCATCTTCCCCTAAGATAGACTACAAATCACCACCACCACCATACGTTTACAAAGCTTTGTACTATTGATTCTTAAATGGCTTTAGCATGTAACATGATTGCGATAATTTCTTCTGATTATTTTCTCTTTATTCTTTCATTTGGAGTCATTTCTTTTGATTATTTTGTCCCTATGTTCTTCTATCATTGTTGCTTGTTCAACTACCTTGTTAAGCTTTTCTTTAATCAATAACTTTACTTATCTTTTAAGTGCACGTATTGTTTGATTCTTTCTTCGAGCTGACATAAAATTCAGAATGCATATATACATTTTCCTATCTGATGGCTTGCTATCTTTATTAGGACTATGCGCAGATTTTATAGTATAACTATTTATTTTCAATGTTTTAAATTTATGTTTTTACATTCAAGAATGTTAGTAATAGTTAGTACCCACAGTATTAAAAGAGTTTTGGGTTTTCTTTTATACTTAAATTGAAAAATTCATCCATAATTAAAATATTAGTACATATATATATAGCAGAATGTAATGAAATATGGTGCTCCAAAATTTTAATGATGATTGTGCTTATTTTTGTAGTATTTTGGTGCGGATGTGTTGTCTGTATCATGTTTTCATACATGCTCTCTAGCCATAAGAGAATTTATGATAATCGGATCCGAGCCAAATGGACTTAGAGATTTCCCAATATGTATAATATTAATTCACATGTTTCTTTTGAAATTTATGTCCGAATTAAATACGGAAGAAGAGAGAAGTAATGTACCCCGCTGGTGGCAAGAATAATGAACTAATATCTTTGAAGAGAGATATATATAGATTGGTTCATCTTTAAAACATAGGTATCCGCAAAGTTTGATCGATTGTCGAATCAGGCACTGTTCAGTAAGTACATGAGCTTTAAGTTCAGCCTCATCTTGCGAGTAAAAGATTAAATAATATGCTTTGACAAAACAAAATATGTACACTAAAACTTTCTCCTTTTTCACCAATAACAAAATATGTCTGATTGTTACTTCATAAAAAAAGAGAAAGGGGCTGTGTTTGAAGCAGCCAAAGTTACACATCATGAAGCTAAAACAC